TTGGTATCAGTCCATTTTAAAGTAAGTTTTAATAAAGACAGAAATAAAATGAATTTAGAAACGAATGAGGAATACAGAACATAACAAGAATAATAATAAGAAAACAATGTCACTATACAAACTGGAGCTCAACAAAAACGAAGTGACAACATAACGGAACAGAACAACACAGGAGGAGCAGTGAAGGCAGACTGGCACGGACAAGTCCAGCTGCCCCGAGCTGACGGAGAATGGGAGGTTTTAACGGGGACGCCCTCTTTGATGGATCCCCGGGGTTGGAGGACATCTACACGAATCTCCCACAACAGCCACTCAGGTGTCTGCCCAGCCACGCCCACTCTCGAGGTTACTCCAATAGATTGCCTGCACAGATCACCTGTACAGAGCACGAAGGCGCACACACAAGCACAAATGGCAACGGGAGCGCCATCTAGTGCACTGGCACAATAGCTCGTTGCCCGTAACAAAGTAAACTTCTCGTTTCCATGTTTCAATTAAATGTAAATCAGACTCTTATATGCAACATAGATATACATGTATCTTTGTCTTTTTAATATCCAAACCCAACACCATTCTGGTACTTTTTCGGGATTTATGTCTTAATCAAATCACAGATGTAGTCTGTGATCGTTCATCAGGCTGGTTACTTACAGTCAAACCACAAAGTCGTGAAATGTTGTAAACATTGATTTTTGTAAATACAGTGTTGGCTCTAAAATATAAGTATTTCTTTGCTCTGACTTGGCTCTGCCCCATTGCTCCAAAAAGATCTGTTGATTTGCAGCCAAATCCACTCTTCTTCCTCATCCTCAATTTCAGCCGCGCTTTAGATTTGATTTCAACACAAAGACCCATTCTAGTGAGGATTTACTTTACTCCTCCAATAACCCAATAACCTTGTGTTTGAGAGCAAATGTCCTACAAGCTTCTGAACAAGCCGCGGTGTACGAATCAATAAAAAACACATCTGCAACAGTAAATCTGATCTGCTGTAGAAGAAATAATGCTCCGAGAGAAGAAGTTATAGGAATGTATCTGTAAAATATATATAATATGAACTGAAGGGATTGGATTTTGAGTAAAGTTCCAGGTTCATTTAAAGATAAAAACGGAGATCTTTTGAGCATGATGCACACAGGAAGTAGACTCCATAAACTCATATCCCGATGGAAATCAAGCACACAATTGATTGCCTAAATTGCCTTTGATGTAACACTTTGATATGGATTCTACAATGATATAAAATGAACATGACATACATACATCTAAAAGTAAGAGTGCTTTACAATGTTCAGAGTTCAGATATTGTTCCATTCTCTCCACACGGTGATGATGGAAGAGCGTCGCCGAACACACTGGACCATCAAAGCCTCTGACCAAACACCATCCGTTCACTCACTCATTACATTCATACCTATTGTGCATGTTTTTAGTGATGGGGGAACCAGAGCACCCGGAGGAAACCGAAGCAGGCACGGGGAGAACATGCAAACTCCACTGAGAAAGGCCTTGTTCTGACCAGGATTTGAACCCAGGACCTGCTCGCTGAGAAGCGAGAGTGTTAACCACTCATTGACCCCCACGGAGACTGCATAAACCACATGTGTCAGACACAGGCCTGTGCGCTAAATGTGGAGTTCAAAATGTGATCTATTCGATGTAGTTCATCACAGATTTTAGAGAGAGTCCCAAAAAATATATATATATCATGTGTCCAAATAATCTGATAACCTATAAGGTTATATAACCTATAGGTGAAATCCTCCGGCTCTAGTCCTGACCAAGTCAACATTTGGAAATAGGTCCCGGGGAGCTGTACTACGGCGACCACTGCTCCTGACGCCTTAGTGGCATCAGGATGGATCAAATGCAGAAGATAAACACAGTGCACCTTTACCTTTTACCTTTACCTTTAAAAACATGGCCAATTCAGAGTTTTTGGAGGCTTTGATAGCAACTTTTAGTCAATCGATATCAATCAGCTCTCATAACACACACTTTCTCTCCTATATCTCTCCTTTACTGTGGTTTGAGTAATCTTCATTCTCGTATTGAAGAATGGAGGACGTCGTTGCTCTGATGACTCCTGTTTTTACCTCCAGCCGCACGTACACGCTTTGTGCATCACTGGTAGATCTCTATACAGTATATATAGTGATAAACAAATGAAGAGTTCAGAAGGTATCAACGATCACATTGCAGACTATTGCACAGATTAGATAATGACCATGAAGTTGTTACAGTGGGGTTCAATCAGGTCTTTAAATCTCATCTCGCATTTTCTTGAAATTATTCATTCTCTCATTTATTCTTTAAAGCTTTTCTTCTTTAATAAATGTTGATTCCCGTTACATGTCTCCCCGACAAGATTCGAGCACAAAGAGACTGTTATATGAGCTGTCTCTTTTTTGTAACTCTGCTCCAAACGGGGGAGAAAAAAAGACACTTTTGGAGCATTTTTACAACAGTCTAAGAAAGCACTTAATTGAAATTTAAATTGTAGCTGACACTGGCCCTAATATATTTTTTTAAAGGGCAGCAACACTGGATCTTTGTTGCTCTCTCTGTATCTTATATGGCTTTTGAAGACAAGTTGGGCCTCATCTGTATATATAATTTATGAATCTTCTATGTGATTTGATTTGAATGCATTTTTAGAAGTCTCTATATTGATTTTAATTGAAGGAGAAGATACGTGGCAAGAGCTCTGGTGTGTGTCGTCTGGTGCACACTGGGGTAGTCTTGCACAGTTTTTCCTATGTGGTTTACTGCAAATGGCAAATAAATGAATCTGAATCTGAATCTGAATCTGAGCGCTCGCTGGCTCACAGCAGTAACAGCAGTGGGTCCCTACAATTACATTTCCTTAGGTTTCTCATCTTCTCCCTCTGGGTTTTTAGAGTTTTACCTTGATGCAGGGGGTCTGAGGACAGTGATGATGATCCAGGACGCTCAACAATATTTATGGACATTGGTCAACCATCCCTTATAGATAGATAGATAGATACTTTATTGATCCCCGCGGGAGAAATTCAGGCGTCCAGTAGCAGCAGAAACACATCCATGCATACAAACAAAAACAAATACAATAATTGTCATTGTAAAAATAGCTAACAATAGTAATACAATAGAGCACTTAAAGTCACAGCAGCAGAGGTGGAGAAGCGGCTTGGTTCGGACCAATTCCTCAAATCTGGTCCAGAGTGAGATGCTAAATGCTTATATAGTATTAGCATTTTTCAAAAAGTTAGCCCTCCTCCAGTGAATTTTCGCTTGATCTGTTTGATTCGGACCATGAATCCTCTTTGCTCTGCTCTGGATCAGCGTAAAACCATGAGCACGTATTGACCCTTATGTTTTATCTTTTTATCAATTCAATTCTTATGTTTGAACTGATTTTCTGATCTGTGTTGGCGAATCAGCGTTTTTGTAAAGTCCTTCTGTTGTCATTTAGAGCTGTACAAAAATAGACTTAATTGCAATTGTATTGATATTTACAGTAAGATCAGGGAGTTTTACATACAGTATATACAGTATGGTGTAATCATGTATCTTTCAATATGTACATAGGATAAAGTGTGTACAGAGCGTTTGATTCTCTGACTTGTTTTTGGTGAATTGACAACTCCGTCCACCGAGATGACTGCTGGTGTGAATTATGGCTATGCATAATTGAAATGAAAAATGTATGAAATGTTTGTGGGAAGCCAGGTTGCTGTAGAAAGTGTCCGTTGGCGCGTAAAGGGGTAAGATTTTAAACGTTTCAGCAGGAATGTCCAGACCACCTGCTCCATGCGTACTTCCTCCACCTCATCAGCGGGAGTCACAATATCCCAGACCCCAAAACTGACCCATACCAACACATCCCAACCATCCATCAAAAGAAAATATGTTCAAGTCCCGTGTTTTTGTGTCTTCTCTGTGATTCCATGCAGATCTGTGGAGATGATTATAATGAAACTCAAAACATATGGTTATGTTTAATTTGTTTTTCTCATTTTTCCTTTTGTGTGTAATTATCTCTCGCCCGCAGATGGTAAAACGTAGCGTTCAGCGACTTGAATGATTAGAAAACGGGATTTCAAACTTTGTCGCAAAATTAGAACCAGTTCAGATTTTTGACACGTAATTTTTTTCATGTTTTAACTCCTCGACCATAAAACATCTGTCGTGACTGCATTAACATCACTGGTGCACAGAAAAACTGCTAATATTGTAGAAAAAAAATGTATGCGTATATTTAACAACAAAATGCTCTGCTGTCTAATGAGAGTTGTTGAATTGTTTGGGTTTCAGGGTTTGGAAAGCAGCAGAGAATGAGAGATATACACATTCTAATAATAAAAATGATATATTTTATCTATATGGCGCCATTCTAGGCACTCAAGGTCGCCTTACAAAGTGCACACAGTTGAAAGCAAAATAGCTAATAGCAAAAATAGGTCAAAACTAGGGGTGCAACGGTTTGAAAAAATCACGGTTCGGTTCGTACCTCGGTTGAGAGGCCACGGTTCGGTTAATTTTTCGGTTCAGCAAAAAAAACAGTTTTGTCTTTTTTATGAACACTTTATTACTATTAAATAAAAACATTTAAATACAACTTAAAGTGCACAAGGCATAACTTCTTTTTAACATAAATAATGAATGAAAAACGACTTAAAGTGCACAAGGCATAACTTCTTTTTAACATAATGAATGAAAAACAACTTAAAGTGCAACATAAGAAAACACATCATCTCTCGTGAAACATGGAAAGACAGCGAAGCATACCTGAACTTATAATTTCAAATTCTTTTTCAAAAAGACAAGGATGTCTACATTGTCTGGGGAGAGTGTGGACCTCTTTGCAGTCACTATGTCCCCTGCCGTTGAGAACACTCTCTCCGAAGGAACCGAAGAGCCTGGCACAGCGAGATAGTATCTTGCCAGCTTGGCAATATGAGGGTATTTACTCTGATTCCTTTTCCACCATGTCAGTGGATCGCCATCAACTGTAATACCACTTGCTGCCATGTAGGAGGCCACCTCCTCTTTGATGATGACAGAAGGATTCTTGCTGTCCATCTCTAAGCTGACAAAGGTCTCTCCAAAAAGTTCTGCCATGGCTGACTTCTTTTGTGGAGGAGATGTGTCCAGGCTTGCTCCTGTTGGCTCTGCAGCTTGACCCTGCAGAAAATAAAATTGTTTATTTACTAAACCCATTATTTATTTTTATGTTTCAAATAACTAAAAAATAAGTCATTATCACTTAAATTAAAAACATGTATTCAAATTCTTAAATTTGTTATTATAATATTTGTTTTCTTTACCTCATCACAGTCTTCAGTGCTCAGAATCTCAGAGGTGAGGTCACTGTATGTCCTCTGACGTAGGGCAGGGTCCATGTGAGACAGGGACTTGAACCTTGGGTCCAGCGCTGTAGATCTGTGAAGGAAGTCCTGCAGAGTAGGGGGTGAAGTGTATCTGGGCAGCAGGTCTTCTCTAATGACAGTCTTGACATCTCGAGTGATGGTGCTGTCTTCCACACTTGAAGCCATAGATTGTAGAATCCTTGTTTTCAGTGGCAGGATCATTGACACTGAGGGTGAAGTTTCAGTGCTTAGCAGGGATGTAACAGTTTTGAGGGGTTTAAGCACCTGGAGGACCTCCTCTGCCACTTTCACATCATCATCAGACAGGGTGACAATGTCTTTGACATTTTTCTTCAGGGTCTTGTCAGTCAATGCAGAGTATATAGCTACCTGCTGCTCCAGATAACGCTCCAACATATCATAAGTGGAGTTCCACCTTGTTGGGACATCATGTATGAGCTTATGAGAAGGCAGCTTTAGCATTTCTTGCTTTGTCTTAAGCACATTAGCAGCTGTTGTGCTTCGGTGGAAGTAGGAAACCACCTTCCTGATTCTCCCAAGCAGGCGGTCCATCTTATTGACTGAGATTCCCTTCTGTGATGCCAAATTCACTACATGTGCAAAGCACCCTATCTGTGGGCCCAGTCCTGCCTCATTCACTGCATTTATTTGATTTCTGGCATTATCAGTGGTGACAGGGATATTAATACTGGGCCTATTTATCTTCCATTCCTCCACTGCTTGTGACAGTACCTGCGCAAGATGTGTGCCTGTGTGACTTTGGTAGAGGGGGCGTGTCTGCAGCACCGGGCTTCTCATCTCCCAGTCTGCGGTGATGAAGTGAGCAGTTATTGTGACATAACTCTCCGTTCCCCTGGACGTCCAACCGTCAGTTGTTAGCGCAACTGCAGATGCGCGGGATAGTTCATCCACAACTTTTTTCTTCTCTTGCTCATAAAGCCCTGGCACAATCTTTTTGCTGAAGTGGGTGCGCGACGGGATGTTGTAACGTGGCTCAAGCACTTTCAGCATGTGTTTAAAGCCCTCGTTTTCTACAACCGAATATGGCCTCATGTCTGCACCTATAAACACACCGATAGCGTTTGTAATTACTTTAGCCCGGTCTGACTGTGCATGAAGGGGCTGCTTAAATGCCGCGGCAATGAGCGGTTGTTGAGAAGCTTTTGTTTTCCCTCCTGACAGTGAAACGCTGGGGTGATGTCGCTTCATATGCGTGGCCATGTTCGAAGTACTTCCACTCTCGTATGTTATTCTTGTGCCACAGTTCTTACAGACCGTGACAGTTTTGTCGACTAACCTTTTGCCATCGTCAGTATAGTTGACAGGGAAGCCAAAATGCTCCCATACAGGAGATTTAAATGACGCGGGACTTTCCAGCTCCTCCGCTCCTCCGCTCGCCATGACCACGCTGTGTGTGGAATGAACAACGTGCGCGCAGTTTTTTTTCTCCATAAATTAAACCGCGGATCACGTGTGTACCGAACCGAAGACGTTGAACCGAACGGTTCACGGATCAGTGATGAACCGTTGCACCCCTATGTTAGGATTTAAGCAGACAGAGACGGATCGTGGTGTGCCAAACTCTGGAAGTTTATTTACGTTGCTCTCAAGTTCCACTGGTTTACTCTGTTTCTTTCCCTCAGACAGAATAAAGGCAGTACACAGTTTATATAGTCATTGTCATGTCACACATCGAAAGACATACGTGTCACAAAGAGACAGTCACATCATAGTCATAACATGGAGTCCTTGTAGAGTCCTTGTACAGTCCTGCACGTAGGCCATATTGCTATCTAATACTAACATCCTCCCCTTTGATCACATAATCACATGTGATCACTCAAATCGATCAATCAATAAAGTGGAAAAAGAAAAAAAAAAAAAAAATTCCAAAAAAAACTTCAAAAAATTATTAAAAACAAAGAAAATGTATGCATTAAACTCATAATCATCAAATCAATATCAGTGGATTTTATCCTCTATCCTGGAAAAAAAATAAACAAACAAAAACAAACAAATCAAAAATAAAGTAAATAAATAAACAAAAAACAAATCAAAAATAAAAACAAACAAAAATAAAAACAAACAAACACTATTGGACACACAAGAACTCAGCAGATTCAGTCAAAACACAGACAAAAAACGAGCTGAGTCTCAAATTTGAAGCTAATTTCACTTTTCTTACTCTATACTTTTATTTTAATGATATTTGTTTACACTTCACTTATTTCACTTTTCAATCTTAGACTGTGTACTTTACTTTTACTATTCACTATAGTTTAAAACTATTCTAATCTATTTACAAATATGTTTGCATATTTGATTATATTGAGCCATATTCTTAAACATACATTTTAATCTAATAAATCTCTCTGTGGTTTTATACTCTCATTATCAGTGGCTTTGTGCTTGTGGGATTTTGTTCTATGTCTATTCTCATTCTCAGGAATAAAACTGTGAACACAGTAAGGCAAATGGTCAACATTTACACTTCTATAGTGGTCAGTGATTTATTACTTTTTATTATCTAAAGATATTATTGTCAGGCATTTGGGATGAATGTACATCATTAATCAAATTAGTATTATCCTTACAAGAGCTAATCTATTTTAGCAGGTTTGGGGTTGGGGTCAGTTATTCTACAATGGTGTTTGTGCTGGAAACTTCTCAATATCTAAATATCTACTATTGTGTTTTTGTGCTATACACAAATACATCAAAATGCTTTTAAATGCTTTTGAATCTCTGTTGGTTGTAATCTCTCATTAATCTAGGCATTAATCTAGGCTACACTCATATGAACTTTTTGCATTGTCAACATTCACTCATGTTTGAACACAAGTGAATTTGGCAAGTATCTAATAAAACTGTACATAAACTGTAATTAACTTTATCTACTTTTGAAGTAAATGTTTGTGAAATGGTCCCTTTACCATTTGATATTAGCACTGGCTACAAATAATCTCTATTTTTGAAAGCATCTATGGTTGATGCATTTATCCAATTCTATTTCTACACTATTGTGACTCCAAAGTTTGGCTGCAGCTTGAGCAAAGGCATATTCCTAATTTGTGACTTCTGTCACTTTTAGTGGCTGTAACATGATTCTGATTCTAATATTATAGCTGATCTATCAAAAGGATAACATTGTAGGGTACTATTTTAACTCTTATGTGGAAATGTTTATGAACAACAAAGGAAGGACAATTCTACTTTTTTACTACTATTTAACATCTACTAAAACGCTACAATACTCATACTTTATCATTTTCAAACATTTTAACTGTTGCTCAGTCTCCCAGACTAAAAAAGTCAAATTTTTTGTCTGTCAGATGTCTGAATACTTAACATGTATATTGCATTTGGTCACAGGTTCTGGTTGTAGCAATAGCATCGGCAATAGACGTTTTCATTGGCTGGTTCTTGTTCTGCAAATGTCTGTGTCCAATAGATCATCAGATGTCCAGAAGCTAGGGACAAACAAAAACAAAAGAAAGAATCATGAGTATCTCTCTCATTTAGCACTCATTAATGTATGATTTCAAAAATATAAACATCACTCCCCAGATTTCTCTGTCAGGTCCTCAGATCCTCAGGTCCCCTGAGGGTGAGTCTCAGTCGTCATCAGGTCAGGTCATAGAGAGAGATGTCATCTTGGTCATCAGTAGGGTCCAAGCCATAGTTTTGGTCTCCAGATGGACATCGGATCTCCAGATACAGTCTTTTCACTTGAAGCACATCAGGTCATTTGCGACGCACTTCTGGTCAATGGTGCAGTGTCTCAGTTCCTGTACACAGCTTGTTATGCAATAGTTACTTTCTATGGTTAGTCACTTTGATTCTACTTTAACACAATTTCTATTCATGCTGTTGCTAATGTCCCTCAGACAAAAAGCAAGCGCAGTTTACTTCTCTAATTTGTGTTTTTATCAGATCTAATTCTAATCAATGTAATTACTTCACACAGTACAAAATCAACAAATCAAAAGTGTCAGGACAGACGTCAATTAAGTCCATGACAATATAGAATTCAAATGAACATTTCTGGTCTCAAAAAATACTGATTCAACTAAAGATTCAAGTGATAGACAATTGAAAATGTGTTTACATTGGAGTAAACTTTTAATGCTTTTTCCTCATGTTCTACTTTTTCATGTATCTATATGTAAATGTGAATGTGTGAGTGTATGTGTGTGTATGTGAATTTTGGGGTTGTGTCTCAAGACTCCTCGAACCACCTGTAGGTGTCAAAGGTCACACTGTGGTGATGCAAACCAACTGGACACACTCTCAACTCTCATTCAGGTCTTTCCCTGATGCTCCACCCATCACGTCTCCAGATACCTCTCTTTCATGGCCCCGGTCTCACTCCCACTTACTTCTGTAGTGGGGGGAGGGGCAAGGAGGTGGCATTTCCCTTTGCTCTTTGATCTGTGACCTGTGGCTGGGTGGGCTTTGCGCTGTCCAGTGTCCACTCCAGCAGTCCAGTGACCCTGTACAGTGTGTGCTCTTGGTTCTGGAAAACAACCTTATAGTCAAATTAAAAACAACAGAGATTGTGAATGAGATTGTTTTTCTCTCTGAAGTCTAAACAATTTTGAAGCGCTCTTGGCTTTCCCAAGCGCTATGTAAATAAAAGATTACTTATTATCTTACTAATGATGACATTTAAAACCAGAAACTCTCAATATAAAAAAACAAGACTCAAATCTCTTAAACCTTCAAACTTTAAAATATGTATTATGTACTTTTGTACTGTGTGTTTAATTATCTATGCGTCCTTGGGTTTCTTGAAAGACGCCATGAAATGAAATTATGAAAAATCTCTATAAAAATGAACATTAATTTGTAAAAACATTTAAAACAAAACTTGAAATCAAACAAAAGATTTAGCTCCAGCTAAACTGGATTCGGTTCAATAAATAAAACTCAATTGTGCGTCGGAGCTGCCTCCTCATGTCTCTGAGCAGCAGCAAGGTCACGCGTGTAGTCAAAACAAAAACAAAAGTCAC